TTGCGTGGGGGAATTATCCATATATGTATTATCCATACAGGAAATATTCGATATGAGAAGGGGCCGCCACCCCATGTGACACGTAGACATCATCCATCGAAAAAAAATTAAATTAAAAAAAACAACAAAATAATTATGTCACATTTTCTGTTTTTGTCACGATTTTGAACTGGTTATTAATTTTGTTTGCCTATAATTAATTTTTACGCTAATTATTTCTAGAATGATTTTCTGTTTTTGGTGGAAGTTTTTTGCGAGAAATAAGTATTGGGAAATGCCGAAATGCAGAAATGTATACGGAAATTTACTCTTGGGATCCTTTTTAAAGGGAATCCCTTAAGCCTTTAATATTCCAATAGATATGGCTTTGTTCGTTACACTCTCTTGTCTACTGGTTGTCGATAAATCTTTACTTCAATGACTGTTGTTTCACCTATTTTAAAGAACAACACAGCCCCCTTTAAATATTGTTCTGTGGGCTGGAAAACGATTCAATGAGAGGCATCTTCCACACTTTAAATGTTCTCTAAGGAACGGGGGTGGGGTGAACTCTCTGTGCATTATTAAACAAATTTACAATTCTAACCTTGATTTATCCGAAACGGAACCCATCCACAACCCAGCCCCTATCCCCTGGTAAAGTTTTGAAGTACAGCATTTTCGAGTGGCCTGAAATTGAAAACTCTCCAGAGTTCGCTTTTGCCTTTTGGCTGGAAAAAAGTTGTACGCGTCGCGAAAACAGCTGATCCACGGGACAAGTGTTTGCCATCCGCCTCCGCCTCCGTCTCCCTCTCCTTGTATCATCCTTTCTCTCTTTCCACCCAACTCTGTCTCTGTTGGTGTCTATTATTGCGTCCTGCTCCCACAGGAAGCACAAATTAAATTTCCACCGACGCGGGGACATTGCAAATTTAATGGCACACAGACACATCCAGACGGCAAGAGAAGGGGAGAGAGTGAGCTAGAAGGACATAGAGAAATGGCAAAAGTTTGTTTTTAAACTTCCCTCCCTCTCTCGCTCTCTACCTCTCTTTTTCTCTTTCGATGTCCTCGTCATCCGTTGTCCTGGTAAAAAGTTTGTGCGCCTAATAGCTGGCTTACAAATCGGAGCGTAGAGCTAAAGATGAAGAGAAAGAGAACACGAATTTGGAAAGGAAAGGAAAGGATGGAATATGTGTTTGGGGAAGGAGAAATGAAAGAGCGATGAGGAAGGAAATAGGGAACAGAGAATTATAATCAACGACGACGGCATACTTAATGCGGCTGTCTCGGTCTCGGTCTCCCCCGCTGCTCCATGTCTCACTTTTTGGGTTATAACAAGGCTGTTACCCCACCCTCCCTTTTCTCACTGCTCACTCTCCTTCTCTACCTGCCCCCCCATTCCTTGTCAAGGCCCTTAAGGCAGCGCCCTGTAAAAGGCCAAAAAAACACACAACAAAAATCGATAGTAAAAAAAAGAATACAAAAAAGTTGCGCCTTTTTTTTTGTTCTTTCTGCATTGCTGCATTTTAAGAGAAGAAGAAGGTGGAAGATAGACTGAGAGAAAATGGGGGAGAAAAACGTGGAAAGTGTGGGTGTGTGCGAGGGTGAGGAACTGACCTGCAGGAGGCATGGAGAGATAAAGATTGCAGTGTAGGGGGATAGAGGAGGAGAGCAGAGCTCTGCTCTGTGCTTCGTCCTCTGCTGTTAATTTTTCTTCTGCTGCTGTGCTTTCTTCCTCTGCTAATTCTGCTTTTCGTGTTTTATTTATTTTTTATTTTTTCTTTTGGGATAGAGTCTTTTTCTCTTATATATCATGCTTTTTCTATTGCTATTGCTTTTGTTTTTATTTCTTGTGCTTCTCCATTAATTCTATTTTTGCTTTATGTTATGTTCCTTTCATTTCATATTATTTATTTCTCTGTTGTGAGTTCTCTTCTTACTTCTTTTGCCACTGATGCTGCGGCTGCTTCTGCTGCTTCTGCTGCTTTTGTGTGCTTTTTTCTTTTAGGTTTTCCTCTTATTTCGTCTATGTTTTTATGTATGTATGCCACACGAATGAACAGACGTGGCAGACACAAGGCGTGGCTGCTATGGGGTGGACAGTGAGGCGGAGAGGCAGAGAGATTGGAACATGGAACAGAATAGGGAATAGGATGATGCTGAACAAACACATGTGCTGTCAAATACTTGCATGCATATATACATATGTATATATAGCATGTGTGTGTGTGTGTGTGTGTGTTGGTGCGCACATAACGGTACATATAGAGGGAGCCCGCCCGGCCATTGCTTGCTCGAATGCTCTCGTTCTTCCTTCTTCTTTGCTCTTCTCTATCCTTCTCTTTCGATAACCTTTAAGTCTCTCTCTGCCACTCTTCTCCGTTGTGTCTCTCACTCTCATCTTCTGATATGCTGTATGTTTTCAACTTGTTCAAACACACACAGTTACAGTTGCAGCAAAAAGCATTCTTCAAGTTTTAATTATTTGCGAGCTTAAAGTTCTTGTGGAAGAGGGTGAGACAGTGGGACAGAGAGGGTGGCAAAGAGTGAGTAAAAAGTAGGGAAACAAATTAATATGAAAGAAAAACGAGAGATGAAAAGTAAAAGCGTAGAATGAATGAATGAGAAAAGAAATAGAAAAACATTTGAAGAATCTTCAAGAAGTTTTTGGAGACTCCGAAAAAGTTTTTGCAGATTATATTCCATGATGGGATAATAGTAGCAATTTGAAAACATTATTCCCTCTTTCAGCTTCCATATATTTCCCCATCCATTCGCATTCTCTTTTCTGTTTATTAAACTCTTTTTTTTCGGTTTCTTTAAATAAAATTAGTTAATTTCTCTCCTTTGATTTATCTTTCCAGGTAAAACATCTACACGAACACGAATACGAAGAAGAAGCAGGAGAAGGAGTAAAAAGAAGAAGCATTCAAAAAGACGAAGAAATACATATCAAGAATAAAGAAGAAAGAAAAAGAGTTCGCGGGGCTTGAATGAAAAAGGGCATCTGCGGAAAACAAGTGACAGAAGAGAGCTATTAAGCAGATGAAGAATAGCAAGCAAAAATCACTGTGGAGGAAGCGAAGCAGTGGAATAAGCAGAAAGAATGGACGGCAAAGCCGAAGAATAAAGAAACAAAAGCAAATTCTTATTTATGGAAGAATATTTTTTGGCCAACTCATTATCCATGACTCAGAATGTTGATTTTTCCGCCGGCTAATGCTTGGCCCTGGGCTGAATGGCTGGCTGTGAAGTTGCTTGGTCATTCATGATTGATGATTGACTCATTTCTATTTTCTGCATATGTATCTTTCTGTATTTCGTGCTTAACCCTCGAAGGCACTCAGACACAACCTTCTGGCATTTGTAAATGCCAAAATTTTAGGAAAAAAAAACGTGATTCGTAGATGCAATTATGGCAAATGAGAGATTTTTGTGGAGCCATAGATCCCATTAGTTTGACTCCAAGAAACCCCAAATATATTAATTCTATGTGAAAATAGAAGATTGAACAAAGTTTCCTTCTTCTTTCCATTGAATGCTGGCAACGTGTTTGCCATATAAGTGTTAAAGATAGTAAAGTTTGGCAACGCTGGGCGCCCACCAGTAAACGCAAATTTTCTTTTATGGCACTACTTGGTTTAAGGAGTTTAAAAGTTACATTTTCAATGAAAACTATTTACAAAGCCTTCCTAGGGTTAAATCCCACGCTGGTCGAGAGAGAGAAAGAGAGACAAAGCAGGTAACAAATTATGTTTTTGTTGAAGTTTGGCAACATCTCTCGGCCGCACCAAGGACACACAGCCATTCAAGGGTTAATGAACACACTGACAAAAGGAAAGAGGGAGAACGACCGAGATTGTTATCATTTCTAAGCAGAGAAGTTTGGCAACGCTGCTGAAGACCGTAGTAATCCTTCCACACCACACCACATCCTCACCCCCCCACCCCTCGCACTGCGCAGCCGGTGTCTTTAATATTTGATACATTAATAAGTGAGAGCGAGAACGGCTGACGGCTGTATGTGTGCGTGCGTGTATAATGCGTGCAAATGACGTCGCACGCTGCTTTTGGTGCTGGCCGATGCATGAGGTCGAGACGCTGCGGCGACGACGTACGGGTCAAACCCGTCACACGTTAATCACGCTCTCGCTTCAAACGCGTCGCTGCAACGGGTTTCCCCCACCCAGGGTCTAGCTTTAAAACAAAACAAACAGCAACAATGCAAGAAAGAATTTAAATAATGACGAAAATTGCCTGAGAACGAACTGCTGTTGGCGTCGCTGCCCACGCTCGCAGAATTCGAACTCGATCGAACATGCTCGACTGCCAACATGTGTGCGCCCCTGCAGGTTGGACCGGCTAGCTAGCGGCTCGAAGCAAACATGTTCGCAGCACGAAAACGACAAGGACAGCAATGACGCATCTCTCGCACACACCTGCAGCATGTATGATGCCGGCCGGGGTTTGTGTCCTCAATAAGTGCCGTTCCATTAACGCGCGCTAATGCGGCGCGTCACTCAATTTAACCGTTAGAGCCGAGAGGTGGTTAGGTTTTCCCAGGGGTGGGGGGGAAGGGAAGAAGCATACATATGTATGTATGCTTGATTCAATAATACGATCATCCGATTATCTTAGACTGCCACGAAAAATGGGGTCAAGCCTTAGTTTAACTTATTTTTGGTTTGGTTCTGCGCTGTCTGATCAGAATGTACAGGGGCTTACGCTTGACCAGGGTTGCCACATACACCACCACACCCGTACGACGAATCAACGTTATTCGCATTTACCATTTCTTGTTTGCAGAAAACTGTCATGATCTTGGGCTGGGGGCTCGGGCTCATAAGATGTACTGCTAATGCGTAATATGTTCGATTAGAGAGAGAGAGAGAGAGAGAGAGAGACTAGAGAGTAGAAATATCAGCAGATCCATATCCTCTCCCCGCCTATTTTCTCTCTAAAGCATAAATTTAATAATCTGTTTTTTTCCTCTCCTTCCGCCCCCACTGGTCGTACAGGGCCTTGGAGCAGTCGCAGCAGTATGCCAAGAGTCTGGGACACCTGCAGCAGCAGCAGTCGCACCATGCCCCCCAGCAGCAACAGCAGCAGCCACCACCCACATCCCAGCAGCAGCAGATGCACCTCCACCAGCAGCAACAGCATCACCACCAGCAGCAGCAGTCCTCGCGTACCGCGGCCAGTCCGTTGTCTCCGCCCCGTTCGGGTCCACCCGTTGGGAACAGCAGTGCGGCAGCAGCGGCTGCTGCGGCGGCGGCCGTCAACAATTACACAAAGTTTGGCGAGGCGCCGCCCCCGCCCCAGCATCGGTTCATCCCGCAGCCGGCGTTCAGCATCGCCCCGGCGCCCACCTACCGCGAGAATCCCTACACACGCCTCACCCAAATGCAGCAGCAACAGCAGCAGCAGGCCGCCATGCCGGAGTACCAGCGGGCAGCCCGGGCGGCGGTGGCGGCAGTGGCTACCGGCGCTGGCGGTAAGCCGGGCCAGGGTCCGGGTCCTGGTCCAGGACAGGGCTCGAGTAGCGGCTCCAATGCCGGCGGCGGTGGTAGCGGAGTGGTCCAGGTGCCGTCCGGCGGGGTGCTGGTCATGGAGGCCATGTCCCACTATCCCAATCAGCCAGGATCCTCCGTTTCCAGCCAACAGCAGCAGCAACAACAGCAGCAGCAAGGAGGCAGCGGAGGCCCTGGAGCGGGTGCAGGTGGAGCTGGGAGCGGCGGAGGCAGCATAATGGTGGGAAATCTAGGACGCATCATCATGCCCCACTCACAGGCGCTGCAGTATACCAGCGAATACCTAACCAATGCCACAGCAGCGGCCGTGGCAGCGGTACAGGTAAACCAGCGTCAACAGCAGCAGCAACAACACCAGCAGCAGCAGTCGGAACCCTTTGGGGCAGGAGGCGGAGGTGGCAGCCAGCAACCATACAAGAAGCAGCGGCTGAGCGATGGGAATCCCAGTGGCCTGAATCACCTGCCATCACCCCACCAGCAGCAGCAGCAGCATCAACAACAGCATCAGCAGCAGCAGCACCACCAGCAGCAGCAGCAGCAGCAGCATCATCAGGCTCAGCAGCAACATCACCACCAGCAGCATCAACAACAGCAGCATCACCACCAGCAACAGCAGCAGCACCAGCAACAGCGATCCTCGCCAGCGCAGATGCAGGCGCAGATGAACAGCAGCCAGCGGCAGAGCAGCCACGAGCTTCACCGCCAAATGGCAGCAGGAGGCAGTGCAAATGCAGCAGCAGGTTCCGTGATGGCCGGTGGGCCAATGGGAATGCAGCTCAAGGTGGAAACGATACCGCCGCAGATGTCCTCGGCGGCGCCGAATTCGTCACGTGTACCGCCCTCGTCCAGCACCACCACAATGGCCACGGGAATGGGCATGGGCATGAGCACGGTGACGGTGTCCACAGCAGTGCCGAGCAGCAGCAGCAGCATCAGCAGTGGCAGCAGTATCCATACCACTGCAGGAACCGCAGGACCGTCCACCTCCGCAGCGGCAGTTGCCGCAGCAGCAGCAGCCGCAGCTGCCAGCAGTACTGAGGCCTACCACCCACAGGTGAGTGATAGCGAGAGATTCCCCTCGCAAGATACGCAGGACTAATAGCCTCTCTATCTTTTTCTCGTATTCCAGGTGGAGGCCATCTCCCCCACGCTGCCCAGCGATAATGCCATCGACGAACGTGGTCGGACCACCGCAAAGGAGGACCTCCTCATGCAGATCCAGAAGGTGGACAATGAGATCAAGTCCGCTGAGACAGGCATGGAGTCGTTGCGGAAGAAGGAGAAGACCCTGATGGAGTGGGCGACCCAATTAAAGCAGAAGAAGGCTCAACTGGCGCCGCCGCCTGCCGTTGTGGCCAGCACAAGTGCTGCAGCAGCAGCGGCAACCACAACTGCTGCCAACAACAACAACAATAGCAGCAACAAGGACAAGGACGATGAGGGCGTGTTGGGAATGGAGGTGGTGGATCTGTCGATGCGCAGCCAAATGCTGGCCGAGAAGATCTATGCGGCGAACCGAGCGACGGCCCAAGATCGACATTCCATGCTGCAGCGTGCCGCTGGATTTGCATTCGATGCGAGAGAGAGCGGGGAGCAGCAGCAACAGCACTATATGCCGCTGTACAATCAACCGCTGGACGTGGAGTCGCTGGCGCTGCTGATAAAGCATCACCACAGCCACGTGAAGACGCCTCTCCTGCAGCACATACGGAAGATAAAGGTCGAGCGGTGCCAGCACCAGCAAACGCTGGTCGATAAGTACGCCAAGGATCAGGCGGACTGGCAGCGGCGGTGCGAGCGGGCGGAGGCGAGTGCCAAGCGGAAGGCGCGCGAGGCCAAGAATCGCGAATTCTTCGAAAAGGTGTTCACGGAGCTGCGCAAGCAGCGGGAGGACAAGGAGCGCTTCAATCGCGTCGGGTCGCGCATCAAGTCGGAGGCGGATCTGGAGGAGATCATGGACGGGCTGCAGGAGCAGGCGCTCGAGGACAAGAAGATGCGCTCCTACGCGGTCATACCGCCCCTTATGCATGACGCCCGTCAGCGCCACTGCGCGTACCACAACGAGAACGGCCTCATCGAGGACATGTCGACCGTCTACAAGCAGCACAATGCCGTAAACCTGTGGACCGCCGGCGAGAAGGAGACCTTCAAGGAAAAGTATCTGCAGCACCCCAAGAACTTCGGGGTGATCGCCGCCAGCCTCGACCGCAAGTCCCCGCAGGACTGCGTCCGCTACTACTACCTCAGCAAGAAGCAGGAGAACTACAAGCAGCTCCTCCGCAAGTCCCGCCAGCGCACGCGCAGCTCCCGCAACCCGGCCAAAGCTCAAGCCGCCCAGCCCCAGTGCATTATCGACTCGCTGACGACGGGCGTTACCACCCGCCTGCAGCGCGAGCAACAGCAGAAGTCCGGTGGCCGCTCCTCGGCCATTGCGGAGCGCGAGCGTGCCGAACGGGCCGCTGAGCGGGAGCGGGTCGCGGAGAAGGCTGCTGCCGATGCCGCCAAGGCGGCCGAAAGTGCCGCCGAGAAGGCCAGCGCCGTCACCAAGGCGGTCGAGGCCATTGTCGTCAGCGAGAAGGTGGCTAAGGCAGCCGCTGCCGCCGCCGCTGCTGCAGCAGCTGCTATTACGGCGATGCCCTCAACATCAGCGGCAGCAGCAGTAGCACTGGCAGCCGCCGAAAGAGCAGAATTGGCCGCCAAGGCTACCAGCGCCAGCAGCGAGAAGAATGTCGCCAAAACAGCAGCAACAGCCACCGCATCAGAGATCTCATCGGGCAGCAGCAGCACTAACAACACCAGCACGAGCAGTAGCAGCACCATCAGCCACAGCAGCAGTGAGGCCAAAGCCAAAGCAGCCACGGAAGGTGCCCCAGCATCAGTAGCAGCAACAGCAGCTGCAGCAGCTGCTACATCTACATCTTCAGCCACCTCCTCCGCATCATCATCATCATTAGCGACAGCGTCTTCAGCGAAGCCAGGAGCCAAAGGAGCCACGTCTGGGGCCACTGTTGGAGCTGGGGAAGCAGTTCCTGCGACGACAACATCCACAAGCACAGGCAAGGCCAAGGCGGAGGCTGCAGCGGCGGCGGTGGCTGCCGCCTCGTCCAAGGCGAAGGCGGAAGCGGGCGCTGCTGGAGGAGCCGCCTCTGATCCGCAGGCCAAGGCAAGCCAGAAGGCTGCCAAGGCGGAGGTCTACAATGGTGGGTATTACATATTATCGAATGGCACAGACACACACATATGTACACACATATATCGAACTACGATGGAATATAATAATAAGGATACCGATTTATACAGATTAAAAGGGATGTTCCTATTAATTGATTTCTTATTGAATTACAATCGAAAGACTTTCATGTTTTAATAGTTTTAATCAGTGATATTTATCGATTGCGATTGGCTCGGCTTAAATCGATAAATGTAATAAACTTGAAATGTGGTTTCCTTATCTTTAGAGAATAATCCAACAATCGATAGGTCAGTTTATTTCAATTCAGTTTTAATCGAAAAAACCAATATAGTTCCCTGTAAGATTTCTTTATTAAAGATAAAGAGATAATCCATTATATCCGATATAGAGTGTAATTGTGTCACCGCTGTGAATCGATGTAGCGTTAAATGTTATCGATTATAAATCGTTTCCCTCTTCCACTCCATTATCAGCAAGCGGAGAACGCGCCAACAATCCAGCAACAGCAACAGCCACATCAGGAGCCACAGCATCAGCTGCTGCTACACCCCCAGTGGGCGTGACATTGAACGGCTTTAAGCCCGGATACCAGAGCGTAGTGATGGCCAACGTGAAGGCTTCCTCCTCCTCCGCCGGCGGCAGCAGCAGCAGCGAAGATGCGGCAGCTGGAACTGGATCTGCAGCCGGAGCCAGTGTCCCTGGCGGAGCGTCGACGAATGCAACGGGCGGCGATAAAATCGGCGTCAAGCATACGCCAGCATCGACTGCAACCAGCGGTGGTTTTGATTTGCCTCCGAGCTCGACGGCATCGACGGAGCAGCACACTGGAGTTGGTGTGCCCACATTGACGACGGCCACCACGGCGGGCAATTATCTTGGCCAGAAGCTGAAGGCCGCTCAGGTGGAGGGCCTGGGTGCCGGCAACGATCTGCTCTCCGATGCCAGGTGAAGCAACAGTAGAAAAAGTGTCCAATCTGAAACTAAATCCTAATCCTCATGCCTTTTCCAGTGATTCCAAGAGAATGCGCTACAGCGAGATGACAGCCAACGAAGTTCATCATCCCCACAGCAACAGCAACAACATTAAGGCCAATGCCAATGCGAATGCCAAGGACATCAGCAAGCTCCCATCCTCATCATCCGCGGCGACTGGGTCGGTACCAACATCTGGATCCATGGTCAATTCATCAACGGCCACCGCCACTTCGACTGCCGCGCTGTTGATCTCCGCCGTCTCCTCCATTATGTCCACTTCCGCGGCAAGCGGTGCACTTACCACATCTACCACATCCGCAACCACATCGATGGCCATGCAGATGGCCGCCGACATCAGTGGGAGTGGCAGTGGGAATGCATCCAACAACTTGGATGGCCTCTCACAGGATGGCAAAGGTAAGCGCCAAAGCGAATTATATCTTATATATACGAACTTACGCATCGAAGCTATTCCGTTGATTCCATTCCGCTGGAATTCTGTCTGTTTTTGATTCCTTGGGAATGCGCTCTAGTAGACACATGAGCATTTCTGCCAGTGTACAGCTTTTGAGCTTTCTAACGGTGCAAACGGCGAACATTTCAAGCTTTAAGGATGTTTATAACAGTTTAATTCTGTTGAGAGTTTCGAAAGTTTGTTAGTTCGAAAGCTGTGAACTTTGATATGAAGAGCTTTTTTTCGTATTTGTAATGTATACTACTTTGGAGTCCAATCTTGTCTTGCGTAAAGCTTCTTAAAGCTCTATGAGCATGCAACGATTTTAATGGCTTTAATTTCTATCCATGTTACTCCTTAAATAGTCTGTACTATATCTTTGATATCAACCCCAAAATTGCAGCTTTTTAAAGGAGCGCTTAAAGCTTTGCCTTTATCCCATGTGAGTGGAGCTTTCTTGCCTTTTCCCGCGTTTTCGAAGCGAGTTTCCGTTTTGGACCATTTGGGTCCTTTGGTCCTTCGTTCGTTGCATCAAAAATGCATTTTCTGTCATTGACAACTGCATTGCGTCGTATCCTTTTGTCCTGTTTAATAAAAAGCCACACTCTCCGCCCGGCCCTTTAGTTCTCTCTGCTGCGACCCAATCAAATTTCTCGTGTCTCTCTTTTCAGTCTCAGTCCTGTCTCCATTTCTGTTTGCATTGTCGATAAATATTTTATCAAAAAACCAAAAAAAAAAAAATAATAAAAAAAGAGAAGAGAACCTTGGCTCGGAATTGCCTCAAGTTCCAGCTCCAGGTCCTGGTCCAAAGAGTTAACAGTGAGACAGTGAGAAGCAGGAGGCAGGAGGGACATAAAATAAGGAGGAGGAGCAGATGGAGATGGTTGTCTCTCGGTCGCTTGCGGTTTTGTTTGCACCACCCACTGTGCCACCATCTTCATCATCATCTTTGTGGCCTTGTTGGCTGTCGTCATCTCCCTAGCGAGTTAATTAAACTCAATTAAATTACATTTTTTTCCCCCATAAACGTCTTTTTTATTATGCAAGTGATTTAATTTAATTATTAAATTGCGGCAAGGATTGTTTGCTCAGCCCATCTGCCACCCACCCAACCCCCCTCTCCCATCCATACCATCCATATTCCATTCGTGTGGAGAGAGACAGAAAGAGAGAGGACGGACTCTCTGTCTGGGAGAGGGGTGGAGTGGCTAAGTGGATCAGAGTGGTGTGGGGGGCTGTGCTGCCCAAAACTGTGAATATTTGGCTATTGAATGCGATAATCTGTACATATTTAGACGATAGCTCGAATCATCAACGGTTGCTTCACTCTGCCTCCAAGTCGATCAAATATACCGATTAACGATTAAATCTACAACAGTCGTTTTGAATTAACAAGCTTTCTTCTGCTCTTTGCTCAATCAATCAAATTTATAGAATTTTGCATTATTTGAAGCTTCATTCCTTTTTTCGATTCGACAGTTTAACTTTTATGGATCGATAACAATTTACAATAGACATGTGTACATACATATTTATCGAAGTCCTGCTCTATACTTATCCACAAAAAGTAGATTTTGTATCATAATGTGAAAATTCAATATGAATTATTTATATTAAATCCTGCGACCCTTCCTTTATAGCGATGTCTCTGTAATCATTATGATTACAAATTATAATCGATGTCGATAAATATAATACTCGATAAAATTCGATTTTGATTAATTTGTTATATGTAACGTTCAGTTATACTGATTACTCTCACTGATTGTTTCCAATTTTGGATTTTGGACAGCTTTTTTGCACTCCTCTGACTCTTATGACTCTTAGGTATACCGATTGTTTTATGTGATTAATGATTAACGATTATTACCGCATATCTGCAATTTGGTTCTCTTCCTTTCCTCTGGTTGGGATGAATATTAATTTTACATATTTTTTGCATTTATTGAATTGAAATTCTAGAGCGACACAAAAAAAAAACATTCAGCGACTGTGTGTTATGGTGCATGTGTGTGTGTGTACAGTTTTGTGTTTTGTTAATGTAAGTGTAATCGTAAATTCGTAGATTTCGTTGCTTTTGATTTTTTTTGGATAGTGCCACAAACAGATTCGTATAATGCCTTACGGCTGTGGCTGCTGCTGTTGATCCTCTGATGGTTCAACCGTCGTCTCTCTTTTAGTAGAATCGCCAGTACCTCCTCCTCCTCCAGGGGTGGCTCCACTTGAAGAGGTGCTCGTGTTGCTGGTGGCTGCCGCCGCCGCTTCAATCTCATCGGCATGGCACATCTTGCGATGCTTGTGGACAAAGTAGTAGCTGGGGAACTTGCTACCACATGTCTTGCAGGGATAGTACTGCACATTCATGTCCAAGGGACGTACCTCGCGACGCATCAAAGCGCTTGTTGTGGCCATGGATGTGGCAGCTGTTGATGCTGAGCCTCCTGCTGCTGCTGCTGTTGCCGTTGCTGCTGCTGCTGTTGATGTGGCTTCCTGCGGCTGACTGTTGTCCTGCCCAGTGTTGCTGGACTCCATGGCCACTAGTCCATGATCGGCGCTGGCCACCAGCTTCTTCTCGGCACTGGCCAGGCTCAGAGGATTGAGATGCCGCTTGGCATGCTTCTGGTAGCAGTATTGCGACTTGAACGTGTGCTTGCAGTATACGCACACATACAGCTCCTGGCTGGCGGCTGCAGGTCCTCCGATGCCAATGCTGCTGCTGCTGCTGGCAGTCGCTGCAGAGGAGGAGGCTCCTGCACTCGCCTGCTTTCGACTATTGGCTGGTGCTGCTCCTGTGGCATCGCCACTGTTCTCGCTCTCCTCCTGAGGATGTTGCTGCTGCTGCTGCTGCTGGTGGAACTGCTGCCGCTGCTGGCTGCTAATGGCTCTAGCCATCTGCTGGTGAAACGAATAGCTGACGCTCTGCTGCGTCCGCTGCTGTTCGCACTGCTCCGTGCCGGAGTCCAAGCCCTCGGGCTTGTGGCCGTAGGCGGTGTTCAGGATGCGACGGAAGCGCACGGGTCCGTCGCAGCTGGCAACGTCGATTATAAACTTAGAGGGCATCGCCGCCGTGGCCGTCTCCAGTTGGGCGGCCGGCACCGGGGCCTTGGCAACCTGAAGTCCGCTCGCATTTGATCTCCTCCCTGCCTTTCCGGAGCGTGTGCCCCCCGCCGAAGAGCGGGATCCCCTTGGCATGGCAGCTGCTGCTGCTGCTGGGGGCTCTTTCTTGGTCCTGGCTGGTGCTTGCGGCTTGGGAGTGGGAGTTGGGTTGGGCGTGGGTGTGGGTGTGGTTGGCTTTGTTTCCAGGAGCTCGATGTTGAGGCTGCCCGCACTGCTGCTAGCCAATGAACTGACGACAGAAACATTGCAATCTTCGGCCTCCATGTCCTCGTTTTCGTTGTCGGTGACTGTGTTGCTGTCGATGAATACCTCCACATCCTCCTCCTCATCCACAGCCACATCTAGTCCAGGGTACTCTGGCCCCACTTGCAGCAACGAAGCGGCACTCGAGTAGGAGGGCAGAACAGCAGGCGGAGGCACCGTCGCTGCTGTTGCTGGGGGCGGAGGAGGAGCCAGTGGCAGGGGTACAGGCAGAAAGCCGAAATTCGGGAGCGTGGCCTTGCTCGGAATGGGCCGGATGATCTTGGCGCTGGCTGGCGCCGTCGGACACAGCTGTGGGGGTGGATTGCCATTGCCATTCAGATAGCCTTCGGTTTGGGCCCGGGCCAGAAAGGATCTACAAAAACACAGAGACACAAATTGAGCCGAAACAAGGGGGAGCAAGGGACGTGGCAACCCACCGACAGATCTCCAGAGCACGGGGCATGTGCAGCACGTGGGTGGCCAGCAGCACGGCAAAGATGTTGTCCACGTTCAAGTCCAGATATCCCGTGTACATGTACGTGAGGAGCGGGGCAAACTGATCCGCAGTCACGTTCCCCAAATAAAGCAGCAGCTCTCCCGTGGCTCCATGTGTTCTGGTGCCGCTGCTGTTGTTGGAGGCGACTCCTGAGGCGGCGGCGGCGGCACTCTCATCCATCCGAATGGCCGAGCGAAGGTATCCGCTGTGCATGCCCAGCACCAGAGCGTGGGCCACAAAGCGCACAGCGCTCGGTGCGGGACCCACTTCCAGGATGACATCCGGGGGAGTGCTCATAATTCCACCTCCGCTGCCAATTCCACTGGACAGTGGTGCGGCGGCAACGGCCAACGGTGGCGCAGTGATGCCGATGGCACGAGGCGCTGTGCCACTGCTTCCCGTTAACCAATTCGTAAACATTTTGCAACAACAACAATAGCAAACTAACAAAAAAAAAGAACAAACCAACAACAAATATGTGTGTGTATTGGAATTGCACTCAACAAAAATAGATTCCAAATGTCCCAGAATACCCTCCAAGACGAAGGATAACCACCGAGGAACGTAAGAGGACGATGCTTAAGGAAGAAGCAACAAGCAGCTGCAGTCAGCAGTCAGCAAAAGTGAGAAAGGAGCGACAAACGACGACGACCCCGGCGACGACCCGTCAAGTGTGCAACCCGGTCAGGACTGATGTCGCCTCGCGGCACTTCTCGGGTATTTATAGCAGGCAGGCAGCAGGCAATGGGCATCAGGGCATGCATTCGGGATGCTACGCAGAGCTTTCGGGTGCTTGGACTTCGGCTTTGGCTTCGGCTTCGGCTTCGTTTTGTGCGGTTGGCAGCGCAGCGCAGCAGCCAGCCAGCAGGCAGCGTTTTTCCCTGTTTGTTGTTGTTGGTCTGTTTAATTGGTTTGGTGTGTGTGTGTGTGTGTGTATGTGTGAGTGTGTGTGTGGGGATTTTTATTCGGGTTTGTCTGTTGTGTATGTGTGTGTGTGAAATTTTTAGCAAATTAACAAATATTTAAGATTACTACCGCCACCAGCACCTTGCACATCGCACCCCACACCCTACCACACAGCCAAAAGTCAAAAAGTGTTGCCAACATTTAGAGCTGTGCAGGGGGAAGTGGATGGGCCAAAAAAGCCATAGACTACTTTTCTGCGGGAGTGGGAACGTCAGAAGCCACTCGGAAATACGTTGCCTACATTTTGCGCGCGGTTCTTTTGATACTTTTGATACTTTTGCACCAACCCACTGCACTCTCCACCCTCTCTCTTGTGCTCGTCTTGCATGTGTCATTTGAGCGCTTAACAACTCTTTACCTTTACCTTCGTCCTTCACTTTCTTTCGCTCTGCCATTTTTCATGCGTGTGTGTGTGTGTGCCGAAAATTTGTTGCCTCTCAATCGACTTAATTGATTTGTGGGCATAACCAATACATACATATTTACATACGATGCATGTGCATGTGATTGTGATTGTGCATGTGTGTGTGTGTGTGTGTGTCTTCTCTTGTTGATTTACCGCTTACTCGTGTTTGTGTCTGTGTGTGTGTGTGTCCTTTGGGGGCTGCTCTATCTACTTGTCCCATATGTCCGTATTCATGCCTCTGTATGCGGCCTCTCCCATTCGTATTCTCAATCAGCTATTAGCGTGCACATACCCTAGAGAATGTAAGGGCATGATGGGCTATGCATTTTGATCTAATTTTGATTCCAGCTCAGCGACAAATGGTGGATCCCTTAAGTGGATCTCTATCCCTCTCAATCGGAGCTTCTTTATTTTACAGAGTATCAACTGCTTCGAATCACCGCACTGCATCTCGTGGCTTGCGCCTTTGCGCCGCCTGTATTACTATTTCTCTAAGATTTCAATCAGCATACAAATTCGATTCATTTTTTTCCTTCTTTTTTGTGTGTGTGTTGTGGCTTATTTGGTCATTTGGTTGGCTTTTAATTACCGCTACAGCGAATCGGTTTATTTGTACAACCCCAGCCCCAAATCAAGGTGGGCTTAGGGATGTAAAGGGGGAAGGCAAGAAGTGACATTTGTCCCATAGATTCTGGTGGCCCGATATGGATAGATGGATGGATGGATGGCTGTTGTGGCATGGAAATTGGTCAGTTTGTTGGCTTTTGACGAGTATTATGTCCCTTATTGATAGGCTAATTTAATTAAGTTGGCTTTTGTGGAGGCCCAAGGACCGAGTATCGAGTACCTGTCGCCATCTCTCGCTCTCTCTCTCTCTCTCTCTCTCTATCTGTCGTATGTCGTCTGTCTTGTCCAATTCGATTTAACTTCAATCAAGCGTTAACAATTTTAATTAAATTATTTCCAAATGTAATTATAAATGTGCGTCATGCATAAATTGTGTTATTAATTTATTAAGCATGCATGCCCCACCTGCCACCTGCCATCTGCCTGTGCAACACATGCCACACTGCCACATGCCACACTGACAACAATTGCAATTACAACCGGAGTCCGGGATGCGGGATCCTGGACCAGACGCTGGGTCGAGGCCAACTTTTTGAATAAATAATCACAACGTAGGCAAAAAATAAATTTCATAAATTGGCAGCACAACAGCAAATGGTAAAAAAAAGAACAGGACATACAGAGAGAGAGAGAGAGAGGATGGATGAGAGAGTGAAAAAGAGAGAGATTGACGTCGTCAATCTGGCTACGCTTTAAACGTTGCATTAATCCCCTGTCCAGTACCCTGTTCGACCGAGCACTGTGTGTTTGTCTGTCTGTCTTTATTTCTGTGTGTGTGTATTCTTTGCTGAATTTTTTCTGGGTTTTTTACTTTTTTTTATAATTGTTGCCTCTTCCATTATGAGCGACCGCCCATCATTAGCCATTCTTTCGGGAAATCCCATAATCGATACAAGGTGTATCGATCACAGTTTATCCTGCAATGAAAGGCAATGCATAATCGATAGATGGGTGCACTTTAGCTGTTGTGTGCATCTGTAATCGATGTAGATAGTTCAATTTAATTTCATGTAAAGATATCACTGGCATGAAAAGTCCTGAATTTTTGTTAGTTCATTAAGATCAAGACTCTTATTGATAACCAATAATAATTTTGAAACGAATATTAGTTTCGTGTCTTCGATAGCACGGTGCATAACACTTCTACCTCTCGGGCCTGTTCTCTCATCACTGCTGCTGGGCAGGACAGTGCGACATGGAATTCAATTTGATTAATGAAAGGTTGTACAAAAAAAAAGAGTCTACTGCGGAGAGCAGTTGACTTTCCCCTTTTCCTTCCTCCCTTTGTGCACTTTGTGCTGATCTTTGTAGTATAAGTTGATGTGCAAATTGCCTGACAACTGTAAAACCAAACCAAATCGAAGCGGAAACCAGAGCAGGAAACCAGGAAACGGCTGCACACACACACTACTGTCAAGTGATGGGAAGGAGGGAAGTGGAAGTGGAAGGCGGCTTTCCCATGCACACGGACATGCACAGACGACACATGGCCAGGATTTACCCAACGGTTGCTGTTGCTGTAGCTGTTGTTCTGTGGGAGGGTCGGGGGCTATGTGCTTTTGACCATGATGACAAGCAACTTCTGTTCTGCTGTTCTGCTCCTTTGCTCATCTCTCTCCTTTTATGCCCTCGCTCGCTCCAGCACTTGTGTCGAGCTGAAGCTTATCCCAACTGGATTTATTGTGTGCATATGTCTCCTCTTCTCTCCGCTGCATGTGTGGGCAGAGAGAGAGAGAGAGAGACAGAGTCAAAAGGGACAAACCTTTTATGACAATTAAAACATAATTGACGGTCAACATTAATAAACCAAACGCACACCGAAAACAACAGGAAAACAGGAAGAAAAAAAAATAAAACAAAGAACAGCAACAGCAACAGCCACATATGCAGATACAGGTACAGATACATTTACAGAGCAACAGAGAACACAAGACACATTGGTGGAGACACGAAAGGATAAAGGGGAATGAACCCCGCTGCAACATACACAGCAAGAAAATAATCGTATGCAAGCTGGGTGTTCGGTTGGCTTTTATTTCTTTGAAATAAAATAAAATAAAATATATTATATATGTAGTGTATAACATTCATAGCGAGTATTAGGATTCTGAATTATTAACAAGTACACTTAATTAACGAGGGAAATGCATAGACCAGTACCGACATCGAATGAATCTGAGTGCAGGGTACGCGGATAGTCTTCTCTATGTGCAGCGGCATTTGATGAGAGATATCCGAGATATGTATACATGTGTGATTCTTGTATTCAAAGGACAAGTGCCACAGCAACTTTTCGAGAAGGAAAGGGTACTCCGCACTAATCCGACTTACCCCCTCAGCATTCGGCAAGTGTGTGTGAAAGAGAGGGAGAGCGTGGGGGAAACAGGGAGACCTTTTTCCGTTAGTTAAAAATTCTTTTTGGTGTTTGTGCTGCAAAAAACAAAAACCAAAGACAAAACAAGCAAAATCATAGAAAAACGTGTAACGGTAAACGAGAAGCGCACCCAAAAAAAAAAAGAAACGAAAACGCTGGGAGAGAAGTGGAGAGGAGAGAAAAGTGAGCGCCAAAAACTAAATTTGAAAGCTTCATTGGAAGCTGAAGAGTTAGAGTGTGGTAGAAAGAGAAGGAGAGACGTACCTTGTCCCTGCCCTCTCTCTTGCTCCACTCCATTCCACACTTGAGGCAATTAAACGGGTTGACACTCTCTATGCGTGTATGTGTTTGTTGTGGTGCTGCTTTTTGGTTGTTTATAAATTTGTTTATTGGATTTTAGGTGATGGCAGAATAACGTAATAGCAACGTAAGCCTCTCACTTGCTCCTGCTTCTTTCTGCTTCTTCCTGTCTGTTTCCCTGCACATCCCACAGAGTGTGCTGTGGGGCGCTCTCCAGCTCTCCATTACCTGTCGCCCTGTCGCGCTGTCGCATCCTCCTACACACCCTGCCCTAACACACACCCACCCTCCTCACGCCTTTTTGCTGCATTATGCTGATGGAAAGTAAACGAAATAAGAAGCAGGACAGCAGCGACGGAGAGAGAGAGAGCGAGAGCAAAATTTGATGGTTTTCCTTTTTTCGGAGGCGGTCAAAAAGCGCACCAAAGTATGCAACGACGGCGGTGCAAGCGGCTTGACTGTCCGCAATGCACCAAAGGTTCTGCCTCTGCTCTCTGTGTGGCAGAGGTCGGGGGGGGGGGGGTCTGGGGGCAAGGGATGGGTGGGTGCTGGTGTCACTGTGGTGCTTGTGTTTTGTTGGCGGGGGGAAGGGTGAAGGGTCCCCGCGTACGCTGTTTATGAAATTTTGAACAAAATTGAAATTACGCTAATTGTTTGGACTGTACTCGCGCTTACCACTTACCCCTAGCATATCTCCCTTCCCCCTGACAGCAGAAGCCAAATTGTTTGGAGTGGGTGTATGTGTATGTGTGTGTGTGGGTAGTGGGGAGTAGGGAGTAGGGAGGGGCAGGTACAAAAGCAAAAGCAGAAACAAAAACAATTAGCGAATTTGATGAGCAAATCCCCGTTACACGAACACACGCCGAGGGGATCATAAGGGATGGTTGGAATGGGTAAGGGGGGTGCAATGCAAACCCCACCCCCATCACTCCCTCGGCTTGTTGGTGCAGCTAATTAATAGACTTTTGTCCGGTGTCCAGTGTCCAGTGTCCAGTGTCCGATGTCCG